GAGCATCAGCATGACATGGCATGTCTTGGGTGAGCCACGCTTGGGCTGCTGCCTCTGCTGGCAGGCAGCATAGGAGGCAGTTCTGGCTTCTTCTAGTGCCACAAGAGACACTGGGCAGAAGCAGCACCACCAACTCACCTGGCACTGTATGACAGCCTGGGAGATAGAGCCCAGCCCACCCAGGTGTCTCCATCTCCCAGGGTAGAGGCAGCCCCTCTTGCTCGTCCAGCGCTGTGCAGTGCCAGCAGAGGCCAGAGCCGGAGCTGCCACCTGCCAGCAGAAGAGGCGCCTGAGCACAGCTTGCCCAGGGCCTGCCATGCAATGCCAGGTGGGTGGGCAGGACTGCTTCTGCCCAGTGCCCTTCCTCCGGCACCTGGGAGATAGTCTGGCCCTACAGGTCCTGGGGGCTGCCCACCAGCAGAGGCCAGGGTCTGAGCACAGCTCACCCAGGGCCTGTGTGGCTGGACTGCATCTCTCAGATGCTGCGGGGGACACTGGACAGAAGCAGCCCCTTCCACTCAGCACTGTGCAGCAAGCCCTAGCAGCTCTGGCTCCAGTTGTTGTGCAGCGTTGGGCAGGCAGGAGGACCTGCTTCTGCCCAGCAGCCACTGGGGCCCAAGCCAACTCATCCAGCTCCCACCTGCACAGGATGAAGCCTGGCTCCAGGCCCCTGCGCTGTCCTATCCTGCCTTGCCCCTCCTTCAGGGCTTCTGTGAGCTGCAGGATGCAAAGTGGGTGTGTGTGCATGCCAGGAGCCCTGATGGCAGGGCAGGACATCCAGGCTCCATCCCCTGCACCCAGCTGTGGATGAGGCTGGCTGATGATGGCTCCAGGCAGGGGTTGGCAGGCAGGCAGACCAGGACTAGGGCATGGGCGCGACCCTCAGAGCTCACCAAAACTCATTAAGTGGTTCTCCAGCCCAAATAATTGCCCGGGTTAAATACTGGATGGGAACTCACTGTTGATGAGCAAAAAAGGCTGGACACACACACACACACACACACTTTGTCTGTTCATACAACAAAGGGTTACTTGTCAATCAAACAGGCCAGCGCTCCAACTTGTGCTCACATCTCTCCATTTACTGCCACTCATTAGTAAACAACTAGTTGCTCGTATGTACTTTGAAAATGTAAAGTAAAGTAATGTACACAGGTAAGTGGTAGCAGTATTTGATATGCCAAAAACAAGAGCTCTTGAATTCACTCCAAAGTACAAAATTATTTACTGAAAAAAATCCCATGTATAGAAAGTTTTTATTCTACATTTGTTACTAATTTTGATATAAGTTTTGGTTCAGCTTCCCAATTAAGTAAAACACTTAGAACCCAGTTTTGCTTTTACTAGGCAAAAATAATAAATGAGCCCTTACTTGGGAGATTTCCATATCTGCAATCTCTTATGTCTATTCTGGTGTACAATGTCTTCATAGTAAAGACAGCCTTTCCTCACTTCCTCTGCTGGAAAAACCAGTGATCTCGAATTAGCTTTTCTAGTTATTTCTCTTATTCTTTGTCTGATCAAATGTACTACACTTCAGAACATGAAATAGGGCCATTTTTATGTTTTCTATATTATTTTGAACATCATAAGGTGATTCATTTGACTTGTAAAAATTTAGGGACACTGGGTTTCATTCTGGTTCATGATACATATGTACAAAGATTAGATCTAGTGTAAGAGTTTCTATTTGACTTCATTCCAGACTTTCTTTTTTCATTCTAAATTATAATACTGCTGGAGGGGAAAAAAATTCTTCTTTCATTATATAAATCAAATCAAAGTAGAGTACTGCTACAAAGGTAAAAGATAACCGTGAAGCTTACAAAATATTTCTGAATATGATCCTAGTAATCAGGCCTGAAAACGTAAATGAACCAAGAAAACACAGCCACTATGAAATAACACTTACAGCTTGAGTTTGTGCTCACATATGAGGGTTAGCACTGTTCTATATCCTGTTTTAAAAAAAGGAATAAAGAGGAGGGAGAAACCCTTCGGCAACACACCTGACACATTAGAGCAAAATGGCAGAGTAAAAAAGAAATGTAAAGCCAGTGTTAGACATTATGCATTCAATTGAGAGGGAAAAAACCAAAACCTTACTGACCAGAGCCTCCTGTAAGAAAAATTGGGTTTTAAAATTAATTAGTGAGACTAATCTTCGTGATAAAGAAAAAAGTTAAAATGAAAGGAAGAGAATATATCTAGAAGGGCTGTAAAGCACAAACCCCAGTAAATTTCCTGTTTCCTATTTCCTGCTCTACAGGGTTAAAATACTAAATGGGGATCTTACTATTGAGAAGCAAATGGGACAAAGCAAATTTGTGCAACAAGGAGTTATAGTCATCAACCCAATCAATATACACAGGTTCCAATATCATGTCAGAGACAAAGGAACATTTAATGGCCTGTTTGTGATCTCAGTTATACCAGCATAACTCCAATAAAACTCTGCTAGCCACAGAGGAGCAACTGAGATCAAAGTCAGACATATTACTTATCAGCCGTTCACATACACATTAGTTATTACTTCAGGAATTAAATAGTGCCAGATTCTAGGCCTACACACAAAAATTACATATGCGCAACAGTAGGACATAAATTGAGAGACATTTTTAGAGGAGTGAGGATACATTTAGAGTTCTAGTCACTGGGCAAACCACGAGGATGGTAAAAGAACTCGTGGATTTTAATTATTCAAGAAGGCTAGAGGAACTAGGTCAGTATGCTTTAGATAAAATCAGATTAAGGATGGTGCCCACAGCTACCTGCAGAGTCTGAGGAACAGAGAGAGGACAGAAGCTGCAGAGTCATTTCAGCTACTGTTAATTACAGGACAAACGTAGACTTAAGAAGTAGTAGCACTAAAAAAATAAACTCCCACCATATTTCTATGTAGAGGTTAGCTAATAATGCAGGACTACCAAGTTAAGGCAGTGCTAGCGGCAATTCTTACAATGATTTTCATATATAGTTATCTAAGTATTTGGATGACATAGCTGGTAACTCAAAGGGAGGGAGGAACAGACCTAGATGGGCTTCCTGGCATCTTTCCATCACAACATTTCCTATGCTTCTATGCCAAAGTTGGTTTATATGATTATCTGTAGATAACAAGATTAAAGGGATATTTTAGCACAACTGTTCCTACTGTGTAGGAATTTGGGGCTACCTGCTGCACTGAATCATTTAACCAATTTATCCCAACCAATTCAAGCGCTCTTAAGAGGTCAAAAAGGCAGCTTTTTAAAAAGGTCAAAAAGGCAGCTTTAGAAAGAAGGAAAAAAAAAAAAAAAAAAAAAAAAAAAAAAAAAAAAAAAAATCAAATAAACTAGACTGACCCCATTTTCAGATGGCTACAGCATGGTGCCACCGGTGGTATGTAATCTAGTTTTTTATTCATATATTGTCTTTTTTGCTTCTTTTTTTTTTTGCTATCACTTCTCCAATAAACTTTATACTGTAAAAATATAATAGACAGTTATTCAGTATTAGGATGACATCAAATACTTGACTGTGTTATTGACTATGCCACATAATATTGACATCATGAATCATATATGGGCCAAAATGTGCAGACTTTATTCAAGTGAGTAGTACCACTGTACTGAAGGGGACTGCTCATTTGAGTAAAGAGCAGTGCAGCATTTACCTTTACTGAATGCTATATCAGCTATTTTTTACTAGAATGGGATCGGCGTAGCCATGAAAACATACTGATGTATTTCAGATGTAATCTCTGCTATCATTCTTCATCAAATCCTTGCTAACAGGACTCAGCAAACTACAGTTGCCCATGAGAAAAATATAATAAAAAATACGTATGATACTGTGACAAAAATATACTGTACTATAAAAAAATGAATAAGGTATATCATTTATGCCATGGATATTTTTATGAAAAACCCCAAATTTTAACAATTACCATAAATTAACTAACACAACAACATTTTATCTTTTTCTTACTTGGCTTCTTCATCTCTCGCAATCAGCAGAGACATGTGATTAGATGCAGATGCTGTTCGCAAGATGTCAACAGCTCTGGAAGGGAGACAAAGAAAATCAACCACAAATCACCCACCTGCCCCAAAAAACAAAAGAAAAAAGGAAAGCATCAGCACTGCTCCGGTTTTCGGTCATGTCCTATAATAGGTGCTCAACCGAGTAGTCACTTCCATTTCCTACAGCATGATGCTCAACTGAAGCAGAACAACTGTCATCCATTCACAAGGAAGGGGAAGAAAAGCCTCAAAGTGGTGGACATGCTGACCCAAATCCTCACGCAAAACCCAATCCACCACATACACCTCATTTCATACTTTGAGATATGCCATCAATTCCACAGTGAACGATGAACTAAAATGGCAGAGAAGAGGGTGAATTCTCAGTTTAACAGAAGAATTGTTTTGAAAATACTATTTTGACACCTATTCCAGATAGATCCTGGATTGTTATGGGACAGAAGAAATTTGTATGAGTACAAGGCGCATTTTGTATCATTCTTTTTTAAATTTGTACTATACTAGTTTTATTGGTTTGGTTTTTATTTTTAGTCCACAGCCACCCAAGACTACTTGGTGCTCCATGTTGAGTGCTGATGTTCCTGCTACAGAATGCAAGTAGCACCCTCCATAAATATTCCAGACAACTTCTCTAAACATACTTATCCCATCTCGGTTACAAAGAAATGCCATGTCTTCACTGTATGTAATCAAACTATTTGCTTTTGCTGGTATCCAGCCAAACAACATGATAATTACAATAATATCAATACCGCGCTGGTTTTATAACGATGTTAACATTAATTTACATGTATATTATGCAATATGCAGTACGATATGAAATCCCCTTACTCTGATCCTACCAGGCAAGATTTCCTTAAACTTCAAAGACAGTTTTATTGAGTAACAACTGATGGTATATATAATTCCACAGATCGATGGTATATAGTGAGACTGACTTCAGGGAAATTATGCCCTTTTAATCAGTGGTTCATTTGGTCTATAGTTGTCTTGATATATCACCAGTTTTCACAATATTGTTCCAAACTTTAAATTTGTGTGCAGTCATCTTCATGAACATACCTTTCATTGGTTACACCAACTAAGTTTTCTCCATTCACATCCAAGATTAGGTCTCCAGTGAACAAGCGACCTTATAAAGAGATTAACAGAAAGTAATTTACTAGCCTGTATTAAGTAACATAGAATAACATACCACCATTTACATTAGGTTAGAGGGAACTTGATGGAGAAATATCCTGGTTTGTGGGTCTCTGTTAAGAAAGATGTTCCTGTGCTTTTATTAACTGATCTCACAAACACTTAATCATGGACTTAACTGTAATACCAAGAGTAGTATAACTATGGTCATTTGCTTTCTTAACAGTTTTCTATGTAACACAGGATGCTAATAAAGATTCAAAAGCAAGTATTTACTATCTAATGCAGCCATTCCTCCAGGCAAAATTCTTTTTATGAAAATTCCATAGTCTTCTGAAGTCTGCTCCCGATAACCTCCAATAATTTTAACCCCTGTTGAAAAAACAAAAGAAATAAGCAAGAAATGAGTTATTTCATCCATTGCACTATGTTTGGACAAGTCCAAAAGAAAATGAGAAACTTTCTCTCCTGTTGATTTTACCTCATGAGATCTGGTTCATTTAAAGACAATTAAATGTGCAATCTACTTACCTAATCCATTCTGACAATCAGAAAGAGTAATGCGATGTACAGCACGATTGATTCCATAAGGACCCATTATAGTCCTAAAAAAAAATTTTTTTTAAATCAGAGCTGTTAAAATTCTAATAATGAAAATTCATTTTGGGAAATAAAAATATATAAAAACTACAGTGGTTCTTGTTATAGTTCATCTTTAGTGATGTTTTTGACTAAGTGTTATCTGTACTGTGAAGGAAAAATGTGACAGATAAGAGGATACTTTCATACTGAAAAAAGATGGGGAAGTAAAATATAATACATGTACCCATTGGGCTTTTCCTAGAAATATTTCAGGTCAAATTTTCAAATCCTTACATGATAATAAAAGAAGGTTAACTTATTTAATAACTCAAACCTGGTCTCATTTAGCACAGAGCATATGACCCACAGGAAGTTCTTATTAAGGAAGTAAAGATTTTTTTAAATCTATTGCTAATATGGGCATCACTGCAATATTTCCAAAGCCAATGGAAGAGCACAACTCTCTAGCACCTAATTACTGGTGATCTCTTTCCTTCCATATCTCGTTCTCTCAACAAACATCATTCTCGCTCCCCCTTAATTTACAGAAGCTTCACTCTTACCCAAACACAGAATGCAAGGATAAGAAATATAGGTGAGGGCAGACTGATTTGTCAAATGGCAAGGGCGTTACTTTATGACCCTGAAACTTGGGAGGCAAATAATTAAGGAAATTCCCCCCAACGGAGTGATAATCCCAGAAACTGAATTTATAAACACATCAGAAATCCCCCCAAGACTATGCAAAAGTAATATAAAGTGTTAAAAAATCTGGGTGCAAAAAGGTATTAACAGGCCAAGCATTATTTACCCAGTTCCATTTTCACTCACATGGAGGCTTTTGAAACAAAACCTAAATTACACCATAAATAACTTGTCATCTACTTTCTTCTTTTTTTTGAGAGGACCCACCTGCCCCATAAAAAGGCAAGAAAGAAAAAAGGAAAGCATTAGCATTGCTCAGCTTTTCAGCCATGACCTCGATCAGATGCTCAACTCAGTAGTCACTTCTATTTCCTACAACTTGATGCTAAAGTGAAGCAGAACAACTATAATCCATTCACAAGGAAGGGAAAAAAAAGACTCAAAGTGGTAGACATGTGACCCAAATCCTCCTACAAAACCCAATGCATCACATATACCAGACCATATGCTCCGTTTCTGCAAGGACTCAAGTGGACATTGAGGTAAGATGCAGAGCTGGAAGAAAGGGTGAGAACCAGAGGTTCTAAGTACAAAGTAACCTCCGGAAACCAGGTTCCAACCCGTGGAAACGTACGCTTCCAAATGTTGTCCTGCTTGTGTAGTAAACCACATCAGCTCTGTTTTCATGGGCCTTTGCACCTGCCGAAGCAGACAAACTATTTGCCCAATAATCCCCATTATGCTGTCACATGCAAGATAAGTGGTATTAAGATGTCTGTACTACTGAGGAGCGTGCACTTAAATAACTTACAGGCATCAACAAAGCAATAAGTGAGAGAAAAAGAAGAGACAGCACAGGACACAAGCCAGTTTTTCTTCAATCCGTTTTGTTCTTTTAACTTTCAAAACGCGCCCTTTATCATAAGCAGAAAAAAGGACTACTGGGGAACATTATTGTTTCAAAAGCTTATGTTTCAAATGTTCCAAAGGAACTCAATTTACCATAGCTAGCATTTATTCTACAGGATAACAAGAAAAGATGAATCCCAATTAGGATATGCTATCATTGCCAATGATCATATTTCCTTGTTGGGATCATTTCTATTATTGCTGTGTGATGCAGAATGGAAATTCCTTCCAAAAGACATTTTAGCAGTGCACATTTGCATAACATTTGAAAAGAAAGAAATGTATAAAGAAACCATCTGTCTGACTTCACAACCTCATTTCCTACACCCAGTCTTTTTGTTGAAGAGATTAATTAATATAATACAATATAATATTATGTATTATTCCATAATAATACAGTACATGCTTTGAAGCTGAAATGTGTTAATCACCTTCTTCAAACAGCCACCATGGATGCACGTATATATCACTGAAACACTCAAGAAACAAGAATTACACCATTTTGAAGTCCACAAAAAGTTTTCTCCCTAATTATAGCTTTTGGTACTGCAGAGACACATAATTCGCTGTTTTAGTCTGTAGTCAAGTAGAAGAAGGTAGATTTGCACTTTATAGACTAACCAAAGTAGATATACACAAATATACATGTGCGCGCACACACACAGTATATTGTTCTAGTCTCTCAAACATCTCTAACTGCAGTTCAGTACTCATTCCTTCAAATACTGCAGAGAAATAAAAAAATACTATATAACTTTTTTCTTTATTAAAAATGAAGAGGGGGGGAAGAATTCAGCTAGATATTTCCTGAAATGTTTGTGTTCATCAAAATAAAATACTTCATCAAGAATTCTTATTTTCTCCTTATCTTTTGAAGCCAATCTTGGTACAACCTTGAATGTGGAAAATGTATTCATTTCAACACACAGGTCTTTGGTTTATAAAACTTAATTAATCATGAAGGAATCTGGAAAATTCTTATTAAAGTTAATTTTACCAGGACTTTTTTTTAAAGTAGCAAATTAAAAATCAAACACATTTTGCCACTCAGTCCTACAAATCCAATTCAGGGGGGTTCATTCCACTAAGGATTTCAATAATCAGATTCTAACTTTTCAGTATTTAAAAGAAAAACAGAGACCATCAAGAATGACAGAACCTATGATACAAAATGCAAGTGTATTACAAACAGTAACAAAGAGTAGTTTAATTTAAGAATGAAACACTTGTAATAAAAAAAGAACCTTTTAAATGTCTAATAGCAAAATGCATGCTGGAAATCTTTTTACATATCGTACATGAAGATTTTGGTATATAAAAAAGACGACACAAGACTGAGAAATAAACCATCACTGATTCTAATGATAACCATCCAATTCTAAGGATACCTTAAGTTTATGTCATGTACAGATATATTAGGTAGAGCTGAGATTATGAACTAACACTGTCAAGAGACCTAAATTGTTTTTACTTTATTAATAAATTTAAATTACCAATTTAGAATGTATGCATGTGGCCTAAAACCATGATAAAACAATGGATCTAAATCAACCCTGAGGTACACAAAACACAGGGAACGTTCACATATTAATGATTGCTCATAAAGTTCAAAAGAAAATATTCTGGCCACTTAAAAAAAAAAAAAAAAAAAAAAAAGAATTGCAAACCAGGGGGAAAAATTATTTAAAAAAAAAATTTTTTTTTGGGGGAAAAAAAAAAATTTTGGGCCCCTAAAAAAAAAAAAAAAGGATTTTAAACCAGGGGGAAAAATTATTTAAAAAAAAAATTTTTTTTTGGGGGAAAAAAAAAAATTTTGGCCCCTTAAAAAAAAAAAAAAAAAAAAAAAAAGGAATTGCAAACCAGGTGGATAAATTACTTATAAATAAAATATTTTATTTAGGGGTAACATCATACTATTATACAGACCTAAATGGCAGTTCTTAGCAAAAACACTGTAAGTGAAAGGATCTGTGCAATTCATAAGGTGTAAAATGACTTTATAACCCTAATATTCTAGGACTGGGATTTTCAAATCTTCTGAAGTGCCCTAGTGGGCTTCAAAATGAGTTATGATGCTATACTCATTATGGCTAGACCCTCAAATTGTGTAAATTATGACACCTCTATTGCAAAGGTGCTGCAACCACTTTCATCACTTGGGAATCAGGCACTTGGCTGCTTTTGAAAAATCGCACCCTAAATTGTTCTAATTTCACCAACATAATCTATTAACACATATTACTGAATACCCCAAGGAGGACATAACACTCCTCACTAATAGCAAAATGATGTAAATAAGAAAAACTGACACCTAAACAGTAATAAAAATCATAATTACAATGCATCGTAGCATGCTTTGTATAATAATAAGAAAAGTGACATTTAATTATCAACATAAATCAAACAACGTTTGATAAAACACTTCCTTGTAAAGAATACTACTAAAAAAATGTGATAACAGACTAAGAAAAAGTAGAAGGTGAAACAGAAGATACTACCTGTGAGTATGCAGAACGTGCGCCATTAGTATAGGTTTGTTACATTGAAACCTATCAGCACAAACAGGACAATAAACACGCAAAAAAAGCTAAATATTTAAGGTAAAACAAGGTTCTGAATATTTGTAGTCTTGGGGATCAGCTTGTTATAAAGGCTATTAAAGCTAAATCGTTAATACTTTCTTCCACTGCTTTATTAACCTCAATATATATGAAAGTTTAAAATATTGGCAACATAGATTATCTAAATATTTATCATAATTGAAGATTTTGAATACTGAAATCGCTCATAATACAAAGGATAATAAAATAAGTACATGGAAGTGTGTCTTCTAGTATACAGCCTTAAGAAATCACTCAAGTCACTTTTTGTATACACACATTATATTCAACAAAGTTTATCGGCCAAAAAGTAATTTTCCAGAAAGGATCACACGAAAAGCAGAACACTACAAAATCAAGCGGAGAAGGGTTGCAGGTCTGAAAACAAGTTTACTGCATTTCTCTTAGTTAATACTATAAGACGGCTATTAAACCCCATTGGTGTGGCATACCAGTACAGAAGAGAGAGCCCATCAAAATGTTCTGGTTCATCTTCATCCATTGGAGAAAGCAGGGACATTCTTTAGATCTCGGTAAAAACAATAAAAGCATCCAAAAGGCACTGAGGGTTTCCAATTCAACAGGACAAAGGTTATGAGTGGGACAGCTCCTGTTAGTTTAAAAAAAACAAACAAACAAAAAAAAAATCTCCGCAGACAGATTGAGATGGGTGCCTCTCTAATCTCCTCTGAAACCCTGCTCGTCACATGGACTAATTCACCTATCAAAGCAATGTTTACTCTTTTCCGGGTAGGAGATGTGGGTTTGTAGCAACTTTTGAGTCTGTTAAGCCAGGAGCACTGTAAAAAGCACTTTTGCTTGCCTCAAGTCAGTCTAGAATGAGATGTATTTCCATACCCCAGCAGACA